TGGCTCATGAATAAAGGAACTGGAACATCCAATAATAGAAAATCAATAGATGTAGGACTTAAAAAATATTAAACTTGCTTCAGTGCATTCTAGATTAAAACTGATGCATTAAAAGATTTATTTCAAATCTACTGGATACCCCAAATAATGAATTTGAAAGTATGGACATCAGATTTTTTTGGCGATGTAAAAAATTTGAGGACTTATTGACTGATATGATTTGAGCTTGTGAATTATTGACATCTTATGTAACATTTTAATGTACTTAAGTAGATTTATGGGGAAGTTTTGTAATGTTGAAGTTGTTAATGTTATGTTAAATTATGTTCCAAGACTTTGGAATCTGGCCATTTTTGAGGAGTTATGGTTATATCAGGCCTGGGATATTGCTAACAATTATTTTTGTCTAATAATGAAAAAATGACACAATGTGTTCTTCTTTGGCATAAATTTTATGATATTTTCTAATGTTAGAGAACCATCTTTTTAAAAAATGTAAATTAGAAACTGGTTTGACATTTAATGAATATGTGATATATAAATATAATTTGTTTCCCTTTTGTTATTATTTTGGTGTTTTCTTTAAGTTGGTTGTTGGTTTTGTATTTATTTTCTTTTTTTGTAGTTTTCTGTAAAACTTAAGGCAAATAAACTAAAAAATAAAAATAAAATGTCCTAACAATGATCATTGTGTACGTTTTTTTAAGAGCATGCTAAGAACCTATTCTCTTGAAACTGTAAATAAACTTTATGCTGATTCGTATATTTTTACTTTTCTATTCTAAATCTATATCTACATTTATATTTTATCAGTATCTTTTTCTAAAATGGCCATAGGAAGAATCCCACACAATATATCAATGGTTTTAATTCTTATTTCCCCAAAAATAAACAATAAGGCCCCACCATGTATAACAATGAACATTAAAGGCATTCCAAAATTACTATGTCTAATATCATTAATACTGAAAGGAGTTTATGAATTCAACAATTTTTTGTTATAATTAATAGTCCTTTCTGCAGTGAGGGCATTCATAGCATTCATTAACTGGGAATTCCTCTAATAGGCTTCTAGGAATTAGATATTCAATTGCCAATTGAAACTTTCTTGCCATTGACAAGAAAACTCTCCTCATCCTAGATTTATATTCCAATCCAGTTCAGGTCTTATTTTACCTCACCTCACCTCACCTCACCTCACCTCACCTCACCTCACCTCACCTCACCTCATCTGATTTCATTTCTTTGTTAAAAGAAAACCCAACAAGAACATATCAAGAGATATTTGATATAAATGTTATATTTAGAGCTGTAATCCTTAGAAATCTTTATAAATGTAGAAATACCCTAGAAATGTAATTCTTAAAAAAGAAATCCTGAGACTTCACCTAAGATTCTGTTATCTTGTTAAAAACAGTCTATAAAACCAAAGCTCTGGCTCTATCAATGCAGAATTTTTCAGTCATTCAATAATATATATATAACTTCTTGAATTAGATGATTACATACAGGATTTTTCAATTGTTTATTTTAATTAATTAATTAATTTTATTTGGTGCCTTTGAGTCAGTCTTGACTCCTGGTGACCCCCTGAACAAGCCTCTTCAGTTTTCTTGGCAAGGTTTTTCGGAAATAGTTTGCCATTGTGTCCTTTCTAGGTCTTAGAAAGTGTGACTGGCCCAAGGTCATCCAGTTGGCTTAATTACTTTTTTAAATGTAAGATCCGTCTGAGAGAAGGCTACATGCATTTTACTTCATCTATATTTTCTTGTTTGTGCACTTAACTTGCCTTTTTTGAGCTTCTTTAACTTTTCCCATATTTAATTCCAGATATAAATCAGTTTCTTTTATATCATGTATTTTACAACTCATTTAAAATAAAACATTAGGAAATATTTCATAAACCTTAGGATTCCCCCCCCCCCACACACACACACACTTTTTAAAGAAAACAAAGCCTTGGCGGAAACGTTCTTAGATTTATATGCTTTTTTCCCCCCAGACCTTCAAATTCCTGTTTCCAAGAAAACAGTAGAATATAATATACATTATTCAGAAGTGCTTTATTTAATTCGTGCTTAAAAATTGGATTTGTATTGCTATTATAAAATAAAAAATATTCACAATAAAGTGCAGATTTGTTCTTGATTCCATTTTAACAGATGCGTCAGAATTATTTGCTATTATTAAATGATACAGAATTCAGTGTTTGTCATAGAAAGTTTCCTCAAGAGTGATTTCTCTTCTTCTGCCTTTTACTCTCCTTTTAAAAAATCCTTTCAACTTTCTGATGGCCTTTTTACAATCCACAACCAGCTTTTTCATGAGTAAATATTTAAACTATAACTCTGTTTTAAAAGGAATACAGATGGAGATTAGATGAAAGCTAGCCCTGAAATTTATAGCTAGCTGGGTAATAATCAACTGCTTATCAACATTCTGTGATCCTCATTAATGTTCCAATCATATTATATGATCATGGGATCTTAGCCCAGGAAGTCTGTGGACCCAGCTTAGTATTCAAGAGCAAACACTAATTTGCCAAAACAAACTGTAATGTAGTGTAACAGTGTACATATTTTATTTGTAGAAATTTGAAGAAATTGGACTTTCTTACTAAAAATTTAGAATTTTGTCCATATAATTACTATGCTAATTTTACTTACAAGATACTAAAGATTCAAAAAACTGTAATAAATTAGTTAATTTGTGAGGCAATTCTCTTTATCTCTTAGTATTAAAGTATTATAAAAACAGCTTGATATCAGAATTCAGCAATACACATAATTACCTACAGATGTCGGGAAATCTTCAAATAACGTATTTCTACTTGATGAGAATAGCAATAGATTTCACATTACTGAGTCCTGATTGTTATTATCCATGTAGAACCTTTAACTAAATGCTGCAGCTTGGAGAGCTCCTGTTTTACTCTTCCAATTAGGTATGTTATTCTCCACAATACTCCATTCTATAGTGAGTTGTTGAAGTGTTCCTTTCCATTTTTTTAAATTAAATATTCTGTATTTCTGCAAAAATTTGTTTGAGTTTTTGTAAGCATATAAATATACCTTAAAACTCTTCCTCACAGTTCATTTAAAATGCTCTCATATTTTGTTGAGCAAAAAATTATACTGGCATAAAATGTACTACCCTGATTGCCGATACCTATCCTATCACAGCACAATGCTGTCATCTGGTATTGGTCTTATTTACTATGTGCAGGGCGCTTTAAGTAAAGAGATTCCACCAGTTTTGCTTCCTTCATTTTCCATAAATATCAGCCCTTGCATGCACTTCCTGTATCTATCATCTATTAGTCAGGCTACTTTGAAATAGTACTACACCTACCTTTAAAAATGGTATGACTTAACAGCTGATGAGAGGAAGACTCCTGCCATACCTTGCAAACACCTCAACTATTACAGGAGACAGGTCACAGGGGAAGATGCATGGTGCAGAAGAGAGCTCCTCATCACACTGGAGAATCCTCAATGTACATGTCAGCTGCTCCAAATAACACATGCATGGGAGGTTGCACAACGCATCAGCAATGCTCTCAGTTGATTGCAACAGCTGAACAGTTCATGAGGGGGTTATGTGGAGCTGTAGGAGGGAACTTTCCCACTGCACTACATAACCCTTGTACCTATTACCTGTAAAGGTGCACAGACAAAGACAGCTCCTGCTGTACTATGTAACCCACCATGCCTGTCAGCTGTTATGTTAGGTGGATGGTAGTGCGTGCATGCAAGTGAAGGGGGGAAGGAGGGCGTGGTGCGTGTGAGCGAAGAGGGGAAGGAGGGCATGATATGTGTGAATGAAGAAAGGCGGGGGAGATTTACCCATGCAGCTTGCAACCTTCCGTGCTGGCTCCTCATTGACTTTGCTTGTGGGAAACCAGCAGGGAAGGTTGCAAATGATGATCACATGACCGCAGGATTCTGCAACTGGCGCGAGCTGGTTGCCAAGTGCCTGAATTTTGTTCACATGACTGCAGGGGTGCTGCAACAGCCGGAACTTCAAGGACTGTCTGTAAGTCCCTTCCTTCACACTGAACGAATGGTCATAACTTGAGGACTACCTGTATTTCTCTCAAATGTAAGCATTTTAAATCCCATTTATTGTAGTGGAAGAGATGCAAGCTGTCAGGCCTAGCCCAAGGAACTCCAGGAGACCATACAGAATCAATCCAGCAAGGTTTATTAGCTACAACCCATTTACAAGAATCTTCCCAGAATGAAAACC